TGGATTTTTGAGAATCGAAACATAAACCGAAACCGATAAAATCATCAAGGTTCCAGTCCCTGGTGTAAGGTGCATAATATTTTGTTTCCAATGATTGCGTCAAATACCTATAGGTATGTAACTGAGTAATCAAGTAATTAGTAATCAAAGTATCTATAAATTGATTTGGGTTTTCATGGATTCATTACTAATTTTACAAGATTCTAATTAACTACGTCCACTTCGAACAAAGTTTTCTCCAGATGAATTATGAATAGGTTAGGTTAGGTAAGGTCACACTTGAACACTATTGTACCTTTTGACATCCAGATTTTCTACTCTTCCGGAGGATTTTCCTAAAATTGTCATTCATAAAGCCTTGTCCTGATAATTACTAACACAACAAAAAAGAATCAGCCAAATCGGCCCTGCTATTCTCGGTCTATTAGGTAACATACATTTTACACGCTCTATTATATGTATATATATATATAGATATAGATATCAGTGTACCTTTGTAAATATAAATATTTTAAAAACCAAAGAGGATAAAATTTTAAAAATAAAGTTTGTATTTTATGGAGTCAGCCTTAAATTTTAAGTTATGTTTTTGCTAAATTTGAGAGATTCTATTGTTGTTTCTCTGCAAGTTTTATTGTAAAATAAAATATTATATTCATAATCAATGAAATACGAACAAACATCCAAATGTATTTTCACCTGTAGGAAGTACTCTAATATCTGCTAAGTTAATAGGTAAAATAAACAATTTGGGGATTTGTATTTTATTTTATTAAACAATTTTAAATAACTAACAAATTATAAAATTTAAATTAATTTAACACTAATATTTTGTTTACAAACTTTGTATTTTACTAAATTAAATAATTAGTTAAGAGGATGTCAGCACACTATTTGTTTTCTCCCTCTGGCCCACACACAACATACACGCAGAATCATTTTTTCTATGTTTTTCAGTAATCTTTCGAGTAAAATTATCCATTACAAAAAAGATAGAGAATAATATTTTAGAGGGAATGACATATAGATTTTATATTTTATTGTTATTTGACTTTGTATATGAATTTAAAAATAAACAAAAAAATGTTGTAAATGTAATTGACATTTAAATTGTTTTTGAACAATATTTAGACAAATCGATATGTCATTCCCTCAAAAATAATGTTCTCAATATTTTTTGCAATGGGTGATTTTACTCTAAAATTACTTAAAACATAGAAAAAAACAATTCTGCGCAAATGAGTTTTGTCTATGTTGCACATGGGTCAGTGGGAGAAATCAAATAGTCCTCTTAACCAGATTCGTGTTAATATAATTAGAAATATATGGTATGAATGTAGATATGATGTATATAAAATATTTTATCATGTAAAAAATATGAGATTTTATATGTAGGCATTCTAGTTAAAAAAAAAATTATTGAATTTGATAAGAATATAAAATTATGATCCCAAAATATGTAAGGGAATTAACATTAAATAAAGTTTTAAAAATTGTTTTTATGGCTTTCCATATTCTGGTAAGGAAATATCTTCAACATCATCTTCTTCTTCTGGCATTTTAGAATAACCTTTAGAATTTTTAAAATAATTTTATTAATTCAATTACATCAAATATTTTAAATTTTTTTACAACTTTTGTACTTACTTAAGTAATCTGGCTCATCGCCCTCATCATCGATTTCACAATCAATAATGGGTCCGACGCCTAGTAAAAAAATATTAAATAATTAAATGGTAAAAAGTAATGAAAATTAATGATAGATTTGTTATTACCATATGGCAAAAATATTCTTCCATCCGGCAATTGTTTAGATTCGTCGGTTTTTTTAGGACATTCACTACAAAATAAAAAAAAGTATTAGTCAAAATCTTTATCTGAAATTAGTTAATAGCCTGATTATTATTGGTACCTAACCATATCAACGTTTCTCAACCTATTGTTCTATTGTACTAGTGGTAAGCTAAGAAGGTCACCCCTTATAAGTAAAATTAAATTGGTCATTATTATTCATATTAATTATTTTATATTTTGGTTTATTTGATATTAAAAACAATAATATAAATAATAATTGTACATATTTAATTTTCTTTTAATTCATTAAATGCTTAATATATTATCATCATTTTGAAGATCCTCATAAAATAAAATTCCATAAATTTAAAAAAACGTAAATATTTTCGATAAGCAAAAAGAAACCGTTATTTAGTCAAGTGGTCTATGAAAATGTTCAAATTGTGTAGGTGGTATGCGGTTGTAATAAGGTTGAGAACTGCTGTCCTATATTATAATTTATAATGTCTCAAATTACAATTTAAACATTTATTATAAATTATCATAATTATTTTTTTACTAATTAGTATTTTCAACTTATTCATACACGGGAATTGTAAAATTGCATTTTCTCTTTTAAAAGCTATAATCAATTTCAGATCTTGCTAAAAAAATAGCCACTATTTGATTGAAAAGGTAAACATAAATTAAATTATTGACAATTTCCGGTATAATAGTGAACAATTTAAAAACTAAAATTATATAATACATATATACTATTTAAATGATCATGCATCGTTTCTGTAGAAATTAATAATTTACTTATTTTTACAACTTATTTAAAATTATGTATTATGATAAATCAAAATATGACTAAAAAAATACTAACTCGTTAAAACCACTGATTAAATCTGTTAGACCATATACTATGTAAACACTAAACATTAGGTGAATAACAATATTTTTTAATTTAATTTAAAAAAAAAAACTAACATGGAAATTGTGTCAAATAAATAATATGGTAAACACATAAGTTCAACTTTGATAATAAACCTCTTAAGACCATTACATCAAGATGGCATTGCAACTATCAGAGCTGACATCCAGCTTTACTTAAAAATGCCACACTCACATGTGTTGTCATCCTATTACCTAACCTTTTATTGTTTAAATTTAGAAACAAGTCATGAGCATTTTAAAATTGTTATCTTTTACATTCTAATGCTTAACCAACATAAATGCGGATGTGGTGTCTGTGGTGTATTATTGAACATTAAAAAGATAAAAATTACAAAATAGTATTATTTTGTTCATTAAATAGTAATATTATTATGATCGATATAATTATTGTTACGTGTTTGGAATTATAACATTTTAAAATTAAAATAATTACCCGACTGTCTGATTGCGTTCATCAATTTCTGGATCTTCAACTTTCTTGGAATTAAAACTGGATTTAGAACTTTTGTCTACCATTATATTATCTTAATACTTTAGCCTGAAAGAAACAAGTAGGTACAAAAACAAACGTAAAAAAATAAGCAATAACACATGTTTTTATATTTTGAATACTCATATAAGCAATGGAGATTTTATAAAAAAGTTTCAGTACATTTTATTTCATAGGTACATTATATTTGGCAACATATTCCAATATGACATTAAAGATAACTTAAACTTTAAAGCCATTAAAATACACGATAATTGGGAAGAAAAAATACAACGAAAGAAATATTTCATTCAAAATCTCATCAAATACATAACACATGGTAAGTTATTCATGCAAGTTACAATAACTGATTTTTTATCTGTTTACTACAACTAATAAGTTATTTAGGTATCTACTATAAATATTTACTTTTTTCTATGGATTTTCTAAATATTAATTAACACAATTGAAAAGTAGTACCAATTATATAGCAAAAAGCTATACTAATTAATAACTAAGTACCAGTTTTGAGTTTAAGCTAATTTTTTATATTATAGAGAATTTTTACTATTGTAATTCATCAATAAACAAATATTTACACATGAACTAGTTGGTAATTCTACTATAAATATAGATGGAGTAAAGTTGTCCCGCAAAAAAACAGTTTTTGCTATGTTGTACATTTGTAAGACAGAGACAACACATGTGGGTGTGATGTCCTCTAAATAATACACATTGAATCTATAAAATGTACATATTACGTTTAAAGGCAACACAAGGTAATTGCATTTGTAATTAAATAGCAAAATTGTACTTTAGGTACCTACCTCCTAGGTATTCATATAAATAAAAATATCTTTAAAGAAAAAACATTAGCAAAATATGAGCTCAACGTATCGACCAAGTAAATTTGTGCTTATATTATGTAAGTTTATATTCAAAAAATTAACCAAATTCAAAATAGGATGACTAGGAGTAAAAAATAAGTTACTTTCAACAACCAGTTTAATTTTTACTTTACTTCAATTAGAGAGTATATTATGCAACTAAAGTAGTCAGTAGTGCATTATATAGTATTATTTACTTGCCAACTAAATGTTTAACCAACGAAATACCAAATGTTTGTAAGGAGTTACCCGGTGAAAGAAAAACACACACGTACGTGGTTCACGCCTTCACGGTATTGATATAAAATAGGACGTGACACGTGTCTATAAATGCCCGATGATGTACCTACTTACATAAAACAAGAGAATACGATAAAGCCTCACTTCGTCTATAGAAACCACTAACCAGTTACCAGTATGACTATTGACTACTATGATTCAGAAACCAAAGCTCAGCTGAAATATTATTGACTAATGACTAAAAATGTATTGATCATTTAGCCGTCGCCCCGTCGGCACTGCATATACCACAATACTCTAACTCGTTTGCCTCACTCCCAAGGTTGGCAGTACCGCCCGCTGCGTTCGTTTATCGTTACGACGGTCGGCTCGCCGAGCGGCAGCTCGCTCTCTCGTCCCCCCGACCGCGACAACGTATGGTCCTCGCCCGTTTTAAGTTGCGCGATCCAGAGATTTCCCCCCACCATCTTCCGCTTGAACGGAAAGCGTGTACGTTCTATGCGAGCCGCGAGGTCGGAGGTTAAGTACTATATTTGTATGCGACCATTGCGACCAACTGCCCTCTGTGCCACCGCAACGAGAAGTATCACGTATCGTGTGAGGTACCGGTACGATCGCTGCTAGATAGTCGGCGCAAAGTCACGAAAGTCCGTCGCGACCCTGTTCACCGACAGCGAACCTTAAAACCACCCGACCGACGCACACTCCACCACTTAATGTATCATTCTTTCAAATCAATAAAAATCAATTATACTCATACAAGAAATTCGCTAAACTCATCGAGATAGATAAACAATGTATTGTTTATCTATCTCGATGGCTAAACTAGACCGGTTTAAAATTATCCCGCACCGAGATAATGAACCATGTAAGCGAGTAAACAATATGGTCAAAACATCCCGGTGCATTATTTTACACACCGGTTTAATCTAGCGAATTTGTAGATAAACTGCGTTGTCGATCATAACCATAACGACTGTTGGCCAACCCGGGCAATCCGAGCCTTTGGCATTAATCAATTCGATATCATAATTCATGGAGTTTAATTACCTATTAAGCCCCACTATCACAGAATGTATATTGTTAAGCATTATATTTAATATATATAAATATTATCCCAATCAGCAACGGATTGGGCCATAGGGAAATCGGAAAATTCCCGATGGGCTGCTTACTAAATAGTAAATAGTAGGTAGACGCAAATATAATCTAATAATTAATAAATATTACCATTGATTATAGATAATTCATACAATGATATAATTGTATATACAGTTTATAATATTATAACGTTGTAAATTGTAATAATACAAGTACCTATACAACGTCTACAACAGAAACTGAATAATAATATTAATTATCAATAACAATAACTGTAATCAAAAAATCAACTCCCGTGGACAGTAAAATCTATAAATAATTGGTTATTCGGGTTGTCGTCGATCAGATAGGCAGGTGGGTTGAGTTTAATGAGTAATGACGACGAATTTTGACAATACAAGTCGATGCGGGTCGTTAATATAAATACCTAATCAGAATATTTTTATTTAAAATGTATATTATTTATATTTAAATATCAATCGTCATTCAAAACCTCGATATCAGCACTCTGCAGTCAGCAGTTCAGCACAATTTGGTTAATTTTACAATTCAATTACTAAGTACTTAACTAGGAATAATTCATAAAATATTTTATGTTACAATAGTAATAGTTGCGAATTATAAAATAAAATGTAAATGGATGGATCAGACTGTAGTAAAAAACGAAAATGAGGAGCTGAAAAAATTCGATACAAAAATAAAAAAATACTACTTTTAGAAGCAAAGGCTTCTAAAAGCATTAAATAATTTTTCAAGTCTCAGAATAGTGAAGTGAGTTTTAGCTGAACTTTGTCATAACAATAATATATTAATAATTAAAAATATTAAGCTGTTTATGTACAAAGTACAATAATCAACAATTTATTTTATTGATAGCGAATGAGAGAAACAACATATTTTGCAAAATACTTAATGCAATATATGTACCTATTTTGTTTATTTAATATGAAAATATTAAATATACATTGAATTATTTTAGTGATATTCAACTGATAGTTTTAAAAATTAAAGATAATATTTATCTATAGGTAAGTATAAATTATGATTTATCGATTTAATAACAAAGCTGGGCAGGTTAATGTTTTTTTTTAACTCGGTTTTTAACTTAACTTAAACTTTTACTCATTAACACTCATCCTAGTATAATAATTATAAAAAAAATTATATAAAAAGAGTTCTCTTTTAAAAAAAAATCTTTCATTGTATATTAAACCAGTTTCATTAATTATTCAAATAAAAAAAAAAATTACTAACATTTTTGTTATTTTTATTCCCTATTACATTTTAATATTTTATTGTTAAAGGTTGATTTTATAATAACACTGATTACAGTAGACTACCCTTTAAAATACTAAAAAAAGAATACTATCTTCATTCTTCAGTATGGTACATTTGCCAGTTTCCCCCAATCTCCCAACAAATAGTGGGCCGGTAAAAAAGTATTTTCCCGGGCTGGTCCGAAATTCCAATCCGGCCCTGAATTCACAATAGTGCACACTGAGGACATAAACGTATTCGATTTCACCAATAGTCAGTGAACTGGTGCAGTATTTTGAATTCGTTTTAGCTCCACTAACAATACTTGTGTGCACTCAGTGTACACTTTCTAGTTTCGGAACCGTCCATTTAAGAATTTCTGTATTTTTATGAACTCTGTTTTTCCATTACGAGCTCAAATTTTGTTTTCGTATTCGATACCTATTTTTTTATAGGTATTTTAGCATTTCGAAAACTGAATCCACGGCTTAACAAACAGTTAGTTATATAATGACTGAATCGATAATCGGATAATGAATAATGAATAATGGTGATGAACATTTAACAATGGGTGTACCTAACACAGAGAAATATCATCGGATTATGCGCATAATATGGATGTCATATGTCAGTATATTATAATAATATAGTCACTAGCACCCGCTTGATTGCTATAGAATCTAATATTCCTAATTTAACGCTAACCGTGGTGAACAATTGTGTTGTTAAATATTTTAAAACTACGGCTAAATGGATCAGTCTCGCCAGTGGCGTAGCCAGGAATTTTGTATGGGGAGGGCTAAGTATCACAAAAAAATACAAAAAAAGCGGGTAAGTGGATGTCGCTCTGCTGTACAGTAGGTTAAAAGTGGGTCACTGTATAATGGATTGTATTAAATTTGAATTAAATGATATCATATTATCATATTGTATACGAACAACGATTCTGAGCGGAGACGGTTTGTCAGTCTGGATATTTTATATTGTTATTATATTTTATTATAGGCCTGTATGTTGAATTAATATTATAAATTACAACAAATAAATAAAATAGTTATTTTTATTTGTTTTTATAGTGAAATTGAAATTAAAATCCCATTTTTAACGGTTTTTGTAATTTATCGGTGGTTTTTCCGGTGGCATTAAATAACTATTGAGAAAATCGAAATCCTGAAAATCGATGACCTCTTTAAAGTACCATCTTGATCCAATTTTCTAAAAAATAAGATACTATTTGTTGAAATCGAAGCACTCCTTCTGGTAGAAATTTTGTATACAAAAAAAAAACACCATTGTAAAATCAAGATCCTCGCTGCGATCAGAATAAAAAATACAATTACAATATTATGTCTTTGATTTACACTTTCTATTTTTTTTATAAATCTTAATAAAATTCTAAGGTCAACACAGTCAATGACTCTCGCGGAATCCTCAAACTCTGTGAATCATTGAACCGAGTTTCCAAAGGTGAAGTCGATCAGTTATGGTATCAAGCTGTGGAACAATTTCAACCAAATATTCTGCTAACCAAAGCTCAGTAATATTTAGCTCCCACAGCTTAC